TACACCGTGAAAAGATGAAAAAACTTACTGACGTTTCGGACGCTATTCCTTCGTTGGAGTAAAAGAAGCAATTATTAATCTATTATTAATCAATATTATTTCTTATTTATTTCATTATATTATTATTATTATTTTATTTCTTGTATTCTATTTTAATCYCTAGCTTCCTCTAGCTCCTCTCTCAATTCTCGAGGTTCCTCTTAAATTCACACCATCAGACATCGGCCATGGCAACCACACAGCTGAGATAGTCTTTCACAGCCTGGAGGTTTGTAGTGCTTTCTCATATTTCTAAATATATTTGAGGCATACAACTCGTTTATAGACAAAAAGAAAAAAGATTTTTCTGTTTTCTTCTAGCTGGGGGACTGGGCATTTTTAGCCTCTGGCACCGGACGAATGCCAGGAACTAATGAACCAATYAATATCTTTTCGGAGCTCGGCGGAAACTCGTCGATAATCATTCCCTTCCGAAATCCTACCGAACAAGAAGTGGTTGTAGATGTTGTAATGAAAGAACGAATGCTGTCTCGGTCAGGTAAGTACTTGCTAGGGCTAGGAAGGAGAAAACAAGCTTGCGCACCCTGATGTGTGCAATTATTTGGTCTTGGTAAATAACTCAAATACCTTCAAATTTCATTAGTTCCCTGAAACAACCTCTGGGCTGATCTAAGTAAGGGCATGGCTAACTCACAGATAGAACCCTGAAAGAACCTATGGGCACGGATGATCTAAGTCAGAACATGGCTTACTCACAGACCGACCCCTGAAATACCTATGGGCTGATCAAAGTCAGGGCACGACCAAATCAGATATCGAATTTGAATTTAGCTTGTTGGATTTTGCAGAGGGGAGAAAATCAGAAAGATTCAGGGAAAGCCCCTCTAATCAAGGGAGAGACCTAACAAACTCTGCTCAAATGTTATCTTCTGTTCAGGAATCGAACCCAAGAACCCAGATTGGAAAGGCGAGTTCTACGCAACCATTGATTTTCTGGATATAGGACACATGCCCTGATAGCTATGAGTGATATGTAGTAATAAAAGGGGTACTTTTTCCAGGTTCCATGTTCAGCACCCTGCGGGATCAAGAGACCGACTCCAAGGAATCCACGTTCTGTCTCCTCCTCAAGCACCCCACATCCATCAAGCTCGCACCTAACGCTACCCTGGACATCCCTATATCCTTTGCGCCCGACACTATGCAGATWTACGAAGCTACTATAACAATAGTCATGCACAGGCATGATGGGACACAGTGGGACAACCGTGATGGGTTATCTGGTTCGTGTATCATGAACGATCTGCAGTGGATCTACCCAGTCAAGGGCGTACCCGAGTCTTGYCCTTTAAAAGARTCCCAGGCTCCTTGTATTGAGTGTAAGGCGCGCGGTCGCGTCGAAGAACGGCTCGAAGTCACGCTGACGGGTGTKGCTCCGAGTTCCACAAGTACAAGCTACGCCTCGTATCTCAGGACTTTGACTCCTATACAGATTCTACCAAACGAATGGGATTATGGATCTGATTATATCAATGTCCCTGAAGAATTCAGGTATAAACATTTGATGCATCTAAACAAAACGTATATTTTACTTCGAATTCCATTTGTTTCGGCTTGACTCCAGCAGCATGGGATACCTGTGGTAGGTCTATACTCCAGTTTCGAGTTCTCTGTTGCTCAGGGTTAGTCTCGATTTTGTGTAGAATATTCATGTCTTCCAGTGAAGGTCCGTGGAATTTCGAAGTGTTCATATTGTTGAAGTTGTGCATTCTTTACTTTACCGTTGGTATTTGTGAATATTTAAGCACTGATACGAGGCTAACCTTGAGTAAATGAGTCTACAATCAAGGAAGACAGCGGTAGTTTGGATCTGGTTTATTGCTGTGTTCTCTTGTTATAATAACGTGTGGGATCCCTGATTTTCCATGCGATTCCACGTGAAATACCCTCTTGTATACTTCATCTCTAACCAATCATTGCACTTTTTTGTGTCTGTCTGTCTGTTTGGTGGTTTAGATACGAAGTTATCTACGAAGATGCTGAAGGTCAGGCAGCATTGGAACGATCTCTTGGTGTCAGTCTGATCAGGAAAGCAAGAAACCAAGTCTCTGGAATCATCAGTCTTATTTTTAATTTTGTTTTCTCGCCATTCAAGCCATTTAGGTAAGGCTATAGTACGCAGTCTGATTTGGTTTATAGAGTCATTGGACTTACAAATTTGTGCAATTTTTACAAAGTTTTTCACCGATATATGGTATGCACTCTAATTACTTTGTTATTTAGTCATAGAGCTCAGCTGGTGGTATCAGCCGTAACGGGCGGTGTCTGGAGGTTTCCTTTCCGTGTTCTGGCCACGGAACCTGAAGTAGATGACGTCATTAATATGGAAGCTGCTGGACTAAACAAGGAATTTTTTGTTGGTTTCCGGCTCACTAGTCAGACAAGGTAACCATGGTTACTTAGCATTTTACTGAAAGGCGGAACCTAGCGAATTTCGCTGCGAATTAAAGATGACATTGTATTTGTCATTATATATCGATAAAAGACAAGGTTTAAACAATTGTCACCTTACGGGACTCGATTCAGAGTGGAGGGGTGGGATTGCCCGAGACCCAACACCTCTGGAAGGGTAATCCTGGATTTTCGTCTTAAATATCTCAAATGCAGGCAGCTTAATCTGGAAGGCAAAACAGCAAAAATTTTAACTAGAACAAACTTTTTTCTGTTTTGCCTTCCAGATTAAGTGACTTGTCAGAAATTAGCAGGGGTGGGAATTTTGAATTTGGGGTTGGAAATGGGGGGGGTGACCCATCCAAGCAATGGGAATGAAATTTCCTTCCCCTACCCTTGGGCCTAGCATAAAATACCATGGCCCTCCCCTCTTGTGTAAATGATTTTTTAAAGTGGACAGGTGGGCAGGGCAAATGAGCAACTGGTCTTTCCTTAGGTTTTGTAAATTTTTGTATTACTCCGACGCGTTTCGTCTGTAATCAATAGACGTATAGTTTACGAATGAGTATTATTACAACAGTTTATATGGACTATTGGAACAGGGAATTATAAAACCATGTGCTAACCATGCGCTAACCATGTGCCCCAAAAAAGACATTTTTAGGACATTTGATACAGGTTAATCTATTTTAAATAGTACTTCACAGTTTATACATCCGATATGCTTTGTTGTTGTCGTGGTTATTTGAACCAAATATAGCCCTAATTTTTCTTATGTGTTTATACTGTGAACCAACAACTGTATGAGCTCAAGCATAAATTTGAACAACCCTCTCCTTTAAGCAGCCCATTTTTTCTTGACCCTCCCTTTTTTAGGGTCTTAAAAAGTTATGACCTTCCCCATGTTTCCACCCCCCACCCCCCTCCCCCCTGCTAATTTCTGACAAGTTCCTAAGCTGCAATCGATTCTTTGTCGTAATAAATTCGTCGCGTCGAAATACTTAAACAAACCAATCTCTTCTGTCTTTACAGACACGTTTTGCCATTTGAGGCATACTTCGCGACCGGTTCAGACTCCGAGTTCTCTGTAACTCCTTCATGTGGAGAACTGTTGCCTTTTGGATCTGAAGGGACGTTGATCAAGATTTGTTACAAGCCAACCCTCTATGGCAAGACTCATCGCGCTAAACTCATTATACAGGTATGAAAGAAGAAATATGCGCATCTTGGCTGTTAACGGACTACTTCGACGATGCGTGGCGGCCATCTTGGATCGCAAGGCATTATGGGGCGTCCAGGCGGCAGATATAGCTTTGTTACAGTAATGACGTTGATTGATATTAACAGCTCACCATAAGACAATACGACAAAAAATAAATTAAGGCGGCATATCGATCACCTTTACCCATAAAAGAAAGACAAACACACTAAACTATACGTATTTTCCGTCATCTTTGTTTTGTTTTGCCCCCTGGCAAGATGGCCGCCGTTTCGTCGAAGTAGTCCATTAGAAATTATTGATCATTTTTCTCTAGTTGAAAGGAACTCAGAGTCCCTGATAGCAATCGAACTCGTTAACTAAGTAAATGACCGCTCATCATGGGTCTTTCCTGAAGCTCAGTGGTTAAAGCATCCGACCAGTTTCGATTACTATCAGGGACTCTGTTTTTTCCGAGTTTCTTTCAGCTAGAGACAAATAATCAATAATTTCTATACGAGATATACATACGGTTTTGATTACTCTAAGGAACTCTGATTTTTACGAGATATACATGTATTACAATTTTTGAAGTTCTACTGATAAACATATATTTGTTTTAGACGTCAGACATGCAGTGGACGTATGACATCTATGGAACCACTCCCGACTACACCCCACCTAACAGCCAATCAAAAGTCGTATCCAGTGCGCAGACGCAGAAGCGCAGTGTCAGRCAGAAGAAAAACTACGTCCTTGAAAACCTAAGACTGCCTAACACCGCAGTCTCATCTCCGCTCAAAGGCGCACCGCTGGTTTCCCGTAGCAACAAAACGATGTAACCTAGCAACAAAGRAAATGTATCATTTTTGTACATAATAGTCGAGTTCTGGTGTATATACTGTCAATGACTGGATGTTAAACTAAGTAATTTTTACCCTCTTTAGGAACATGAATTCTGAAATATTTATCGTATTTTTCTAATATTATGTTATCTTATGGCCGTGTCCTTGTTTGTGATTGGCTCCCCATTTCATCTTTCCGACTTCCTATTCCCGAAGCTTCACGATTAAGACTATAATGTCTCACAATTTCAATTTTTCTAAACTCGTAAATATTGAAAATTTGTTTAAGGGTTTACTATCCTGAAAAAGTGATCCAAGGATTTTTTTCATATCACCGTTGTAGTA